GTGGCTACCTATGAGTCGTGTATGAGTAAGTATGAGTCAAGGATGAATAAGGAATGAGTCGGTATGAGATAATGGGATGGCTGCGCGATGTGGGTTAAAGCTGCACAATGGTGGGTTAAGAAAGGGAATTGTGAGAAAGAAAGATGTATAGTAAGTGACTGTGAGAAAAGAACATGTGACAATCATGTGAGTCAATGGTGGAGGGAAAAGTGGCGTCTTCATGACAACCAGGTAGTACCAGGTAATGATATGGAGGCCAGAATGTGATGGTGAGAACATGTAACCATGGGAAATGAAGAGAAAAACATGAGGAAAGGGTACCCGGGACCAAGGGAAGGGAAAACAGTAGGTGGATTCGTAACACATGTATCCCTTGACACTTATCACTTGTTCTTTCAGTTTTCCTGTTTCACCTTCGTTCCCATGATATCTCTACAGCTTGGTTCTGTCATATATAATCATGGACACTTCTAGATAGTTCCTCAGTCTGACAACTTTGTCTTATAGTGCTTGTTTCCAGCATGTACTATCATACACTTGCCCTACTCAAATCTATCTTTCCTCCTTCACACTCTTGACCCTGTTGGTGGCCTGAGGGGTTTTCCTAGTCACTGGCCTCGTTCTTGACAATACAAGCCGCAGTCTGTGAACTGTTCTAGAGCTAGAGTATATAAGCTGCAGTGTTCAATGGAATGGTCCCCATTACCACTAATGGAGCTCACGATTTCTAAAGACTCTGTTCTGAACACGTCAATCTCCCTTCCCTCTGGGGAAGTTCTCTATGAGCTTTCTACACTGGCTGGAAAGAAACGCCCAACCACTATCAAGAAAAGGGGAAATGAGATTGGAGTAGTAAATTCAAAGAAGAGCTGTACAGTCAACAGAAAGGAGTTTGTCTGGGAAGGCAGTGGGGTGTTCAAAAAGTAGGCATTTAAAACCGACTTGGATTGAATGAAGAAGCAGGCATTGACATTCTTACCCTCTAGCGGAACAACAATGCCATTCTCAAATGGGGTTCAATACACCTGGAAATCTGATGATTCAAAGAAGAAAAGCTTTGTACACTTTCTGAAGCCATCTGATATACTTAGAGTCTAATGTTCAGAGTTCTTGACCCCCAGCTCATACCCACAGCCTCGAGCAATAACGAACCAATAGCAACATATCATCACCCGACATATCCCTTCCACAATCCTGTAGGTACTAGGCACTCTATCGATAACCCTGTCAGGCCCTGTCAGTGAGATGGCGGATGAAATCCTTGCGACATTCATTTGGGTTGAACATTGGCATCAGTTTGTGGTTAGTGTTCAGTCCGGGTCGGGTCCGGGAGATTTTTTCGTCACCCAACCTGGACCCGGATATTTACCCGACCCGGATTGCCGGGTGCCGGGACTGCCAGGTTTTTCCGGGTCCCCGGGGTTACCGGGTGTCAAATACAGCTTTTTCAATTTTATTTTGAGATGTTTGAAAAGTATTACTTCTTAGGACAATGTGTTTGTATGTGGTTGTATATAGACAAGGTCAAATAATAGTTTTTTTTTTGTTGTACCTGCAATGTGGGAAAGTTGTGCAAGCTTCTTGCACAACTTTTCCACAGGTTTTGTGAGATTCACATTTAGAGTATTGAAATTGATATATAAATTGAGTAAAATTCAAAATAACAGTGGCCGGTGGTTCATAAAATATGAATTTTCAGCGATAATGTGAGAAATTTTAAATATCTGAGGAGAGGCCGGGTTTGCCGGGTCGGGTGCCGGGTGTGAAGTTGTCCACCCCTCCCGGCCCCAGATAACCCCCGACCCGGCACATCCGGCAAGAACCCGGCTACCCAGGCTGAACACTATTTGTGGTATTAAAGAGAATTGCCGATACTATTGCAACGGGCATAACTGGCACTGAGAGGTGGCAGTCAATTGGGAAAGGTTAACTGAGTTACTGAGCAAAGCGTGTATATGGGGTTTGGGCCTGGGATAATAAGGGGTTGATTGGACAGGAGTACTCGTTATGTTCCCCATGATTTCGCTAGTCTTCAATATAATGATTATTGATATCATTTCTGTCCGTAAAAGGCTTCGCGGGAGATCTACCTTGCTATGACATCGCTATGATGGGTTAAGATCTAGCTATCAACACCCAAAGCCCTTGCATTCCACTTGATATACTACAGCCAATATAAACTGTCAGCGCCACCTCCGTCATCCTCTCACGCTCCCGAGTGCCAAGCTACCATGGTATTGAGATGGTGAAAGTTCTGTCTTGTAGCCTGTTCAATGATTTGATCCATCAAACCATGTGTAGATCCTACAGCAGCTGCGGAAACCAGTCCAGTCCAGCAGACCAACGACAGCCGCTCGCATCCATATAAATATCACCCAATCTTCAGGGCTTGCGCGTACAGCGCAAGTTTTGTGACCGTTAACCCATTGTAAATTCACAATGTCCACCCTCGACTATATACTCGTCTACTCTTTCTCTGACGACTCGTCTCTCATAAGCACCCTGACTCTCACTGGGAAAGACTTAAAATCATCGCCTGAATTCGAAATCACGGTGCCGGCGAGCAAGAAGAGCCCAATTGTTGTAAAGAAGCATGGTTCAGAGATTGGAAGTTTTGAAAGAGAAGCGAAGGCGGAGTGTCGTGTGGATGGAAAGGTCATCGAGAGGGCGAAAGGGTACGTTCGAGGTTTCGACTTTTGCAACACGCCAGACGGGCTCTGATTCATTCCGGGCGTTCAAGTGGTTCAACTTTCATATTCTCAGATGGTAAGAAGTATACTTGGAGGGTTGATAAGTGGAGTCAGACGATAGAGGTGCGTATCAGTTCTACCTAGTCTCACAAGCTCCAGTCTTTCAACCGTTTCCGAATTTTCAGTTACTGGATGAAGCTCGCACAGCTGTTGTCACGTTTGCATCCAAGACACCGGATCCCGTAGGGAAGCGTGAGTCTACACCACCGGCCTTGCGGATCTCATTACCGTCACCGAGCTCGAACATCGTGGATGAGATTGTAACGACCTTGTTCTACGTTCGTGAACACGGGGCTAAAGGCACGTCGAGCTCTAACGGGGTTTTCGATTGGATGTGTAAGTGCGAATTTCTCTCTTTGGCTTTTTGATGACTCACAATATTATCAAGTAAACGCGTTGGCGAGTGTGTTCCTATGTTGTCCCTGAGTATTGAGAGGGATGTGAACTATGGTCATGTCTACAGTGTACTCTTGCTATTCGATGTATGTAACTTATCAATCATAGGCTGAGTTTGGAGCATCGAAGCCCGAATCTTGACCTCCGAAGATATAAAGCATAACTCACCAGTGATCCGTTGAGCCTCCGGTGGCTAGGTGATCTATCAGCTCCTCAACAGAGCTCTAGGTTGTTGGGCACATTGTGCCGGCCACCGTCGCGAATGGAGCTTGAGTTTTGATGATTCTCAGTATGCGATGAATCTGTGGCCCAGACATCCACCACAATTGTCATACTGGACACCAAAGAAATGTGCCTCGGAATGGCTCAGTAAACTGATTGACTCTTCAATTTCCGATTGTCCGAGTATCCGTCAGCTCAAAACATTGTTGGCAGTCGACTGGGAGTGTAGCTCGATGGCGTATCGATCTACTTAAGTTTTGATCGAATGAGGTATTGATTGGTTGTACTATAAAACTATGTACAGTCTGATTCGGCCGTTCCAGATCAGGGTGATAGTCTTCTGGTCAGTCTATGTTTGTGCTTTTGAAGATATCCACCATAGCATCCCTTCTGAATATATGTGGAAGGTGGGATGGGCGCGACAGCTATAAAAATCCCAGGACTCACGTGGTCCACTTGGGTTTACACTTACATGCACACTCTGTCCGCGACCTCCGTCGTTCTCTCACATTCCCGAGATCAAAGATGCTGGGAGCAATGCTCAAAGTTCTCTCCCGCCGCAGCACACCGAATGATATCACTCGTCATGAGGCTGATCAACGTGCGAGGCGGTAAGGGCCACAAATCGATCCAGAGGAACGACCCATATAAACACCAACCGATCGTTAAGTTTTGGCGTCGGCCCCGATTCTCTCAGGCTGAGAAGTTTAAATTACTATGTCATCCACTTTCAATTACGCTCTTACCCACTCATTTTCTGAAGACTCGTGTCTCATAACCACTATAACTCTCGCCGGAAAAGACTCGAGCTTGATTCCTGAGTTCGAAGTCACGACACCCCCACGCAGGGACAATCCGACTATTGTTAGAAAACATGGCGCCGAAGTTGGGAATTTTGTTGGGAAGGCAAAGGAAGGGTGCTCGGTAAATGGGAGGGTTATTGAGAGGGCGAAAGGGTGCGTAGAACTTCAAAGCTTGATTGTCAGGCTAATCTTGGAGGCCCAACCTCAGTAGTAGTATGTCGTTCATGTTCTCGGATGGGAAGAAGTATACCTGGAAGATTCATCAGAGGAGGAAGAAAATTGACGTGCGTACTGTTTCCTCCAGCTTTTTTGGAAGATGTGACTCACTCGACTTCTTTCACTTTATGAATTCTAGCTGAGAGCGGACGAAACCCGTGCCGTAATTGCGACTTTCTCATCTAGTGCTCCAAAAGGGAAGAAGCCTGAGGTTACCCCACCGGCATTGCATATCTCACCGCCCACGGGCTTCGAGTCCGGGATGATTGATGAAATCATTACAACCTTGTTCTACGTTCGTCAACATGGCGCTAGAGGGATGTCAAGCTCTCCCAGAGTCTTTGATCTCATGAGTGAGTCCTATTAATTACCTTCCTGGTCACGGTTGAGAAATTGAGCATCGACCTATCAGTAAATATGGTCGTAGGAGTGTTGAGTGTGCTGGCATTCTGGGTTTGAGGGTGTACTGACTCAGATTGTACTTTTCTGTTTTCACGGACACGGATGATTATATACCATTCTCAAAGCTAACAATTACCATGGATTCTCTAACTCACCCACCAGCTCAGAGGCCTTGGCAAGGCTTTCGCCTTCCCCCGATCTCGAAGTCATCGGGCACATGGTGTAGTTGGTTATCACATCCGCTTAGCATTCAACTCTTCTGCGGGTGTTTCTGCGGGGGGTGCTGGGTTCAATTCCCAGTGTGTCCATGACTGGACTACGACTGTACTTTCCTCTGTTACTGCGTGAATTTTTATGGGTTGTCACTAGAAGTCAGCATATGCTACATGCCATGTTCAGTACAAAGCTCTGTCTGTCTGAAACCTCAAACTAAACAGGTTTTAACACTCCCCGTCTTTCACCTTGACATCGGCCAACCCTGCAATCTGCGAATCGTCGAATAGTCGTACTCGATCCTCTGGGATTCCCTTGAACGCAGCTGCGAACCGCTCCTGAGAATTGTCGCCACCTTCGACGAGACGGATCCACATGCATCGAATGAAGAAGGGACCGTACGTGTTGAATCTGTCATCGTAGACGTTGCACATCAGTATCCGTTACAAGCTCCAAATGGTAGACCACTTACGCTCTCGCATATACCTCGGGATCCCCTTGCGTCGAGTCCCCGACGGTCAAGAAACTCTTCTTCGGGTACATCTTCTGCACACGAGCGATTTGGACCGTCTTATATTCGACTTTTTGTGCCGTATCCGAATCGAGAATCGTAAAGAGCTCGCTAATTTCGGAGAGTGTAATGTTTTGAAGGAAAAGGGGGCCGTGTGCTGATGGATCGAAGGTGTTGTGGAGGAAGGTACGGAGATAGGGGTAAAGGTGATAGGGCGAGGCAGAGACGTATACGAATTGGGGCTTGGTATGAGAGGGGAAGGGAGAAGAGAGCGAGGAAGAGAGATTTGTATAGGTCAGGCATTCCAGGAGCGGGGGTGGCATCATTGAAGAGCGTGGAGGTTATGAACTTGACTTTGTCGGTTCCCTCGGAGATTTTGACCGTGTCATCGATATTGGAAATGGAGCTTAGAATTCGGGACAAATGGCATTATCAACAAACATCTACTCGCCAGATATGACGCCAAATCCCTCAGAACCCGAGGTGAAAAATCTGGCCTGAGCAATTAACCCACTCTTGTCTCCCTTGACAGCGGCTTTCGCCGTCAAGGGAGACCCGCCACTACCATATCCGACTTCACGTCCCCATCCACATCCCCCAACCTTAACAATCCCACTTGAAATCCCCAAATCCACCTCCGAAGTCGGGGGAAGTGTACCTTCGTGATCACATCCATCCAAAATAACCGTAACTTCCTTTTCAGCAACCCCAGACGCAGCAAAAAGCTCCATTCGACCCAAGGCCCTGGACATCAAGTCGTCTGGTATAGGACCAGCACCCAGTTGGTCGAGCGTTGCACGGAGGAACGTCTCGAGGGGTTCGGGGTCAATTTCCTTACAAAAGACGAAGGCTTGAGTGTCGATGGTAAAGGCTTTCTTGAGGCCAAGAGGCCCGGTGTAAGAGAGCGAGGCGGGAGAATCAAATAGGATAATGTCTGTGTCACCGGTATCTGAGAATGAGCTACCTTCTCCTATTCGCTCGGCAACGGGTATTGCGCGAATGAGCGCGGTCAGGGAGGAAAGGAGTATAAATAACGAGGTAAAAAAGTGTTTCATGAGTAAAAACGAGTGGAGTAGTGTGGTATCCGATCTTGAGTGAGGGATGTCCTACGTTCGGGGCCAGAGAGAGGTCCGACTCAAAGGATAACAAGATTAGGTTGAAGTACCTGATTTATATTGGCAAACTCAATGTCGCTTTGAATACATCCCTGTAAACTGAAGTCTCGGATCGATGCCGAATACATTCAAGCTCAAACGCTGAGTATAGTGGTCGCTGGTAATGATCAACATCTGTCAACAGCGGGATTCTGTGATATTCATTCATTCAAAAGGGTCGCTAGGTTAAGTATCCCAGTTTGCTTGAAGATACTTCTAATCCTCGAGGTATATGCACACTGCCTGAGGTAGCGAAGCAAATCGGTGGAGAGACGAATAACGCAGCTCACTTTATAAGGAAGGAGATTGAGGTCGGCAAAACGGACGTGCGATAAACCGCACCATCCTTCGAGAAACTCATGGCAGACCGAGCTCTGATGACCGGTGGCCGTGGTTAAGTCTCAAGTAAGTACTTGATGGAATGACTTTCACTTGTGTCAGTGACTCTGGATAATGCCCCACGATCTCGCCACACGCTACATTCCCTGGTAGTATATCGGTTAGTACACGCGCCTGTCATGTGATTGAATGACCAGTCTCTCGACGCGCGAAAGCTGGGTTCGACTCCCAGCCAGGGAGAAATGAGGCATTCAATGCTATTTTATATAGCAACCAAAAAAGAATAGGCAATCTGCGGCTTGGCGATCCTCCGAGGCTATCTGAACAAGGCACAAAACAGGCACGTTTTTTTCAACCACCACTCAAGTCAAGGCTTCTGCGCTCAATCTTCGTAATCATCCAAGGGTTGAGGAAACAAGCTCGCTGGTCTTCTCCAACCCCGTGGACGCGATGCTTAGTCGTTTGCGACAAGTAGGTGGATCTGATCTCCATCTCACCCCCTTGTTCCCAAATCATCAGCGGCCAACGGCATCTCTTAGAGTGTTTCCGGTTGTCCGCTGGTTTCAGTGCTCTTCACATCGAAGCCGAAATCTATCGATACTCTCATCAGAACCCTTCCACCCTCACAGTTCCGAGTCTCATTGCACATCGCATTCGGATCCTTAATCGGGGTATGAGCGTTGTTGGGTCGGTCTTACCACCATGGCATTGATAATCTCGACTTTCTGAAGACACCGCGTGTGTTACCCATAGATTTTTAGACTCTCAGTCGTGTTATTGATGGCTGACTAGAGTACGTATCATATGTAGCATTTTGTGAAGCTATCTTCGGAATGGCTAGAGCAACCCGCCGGCTGGAGGAATCGTTGTTATATGAATGTGAGAAAAGTACGTCAGCGTTCGCTGCTCTGAATTGAAAGCCAGCAATATACAGGATTTGTGAAACCTCTTGCTGCGGGTGTCGGGATTAACTTGGTGAACTCGGAATGGAAGCTGAGCAACCCGTCGGCATATACACAGCAATCTAGACGCTCAAATCGAGCTCTCAGAACTTCAGGAACGTGCATATGTCATGGAAGCTAGACAATCTCTTGGTTGTGTTGTTCTGTTCGATCTTCGTAGGCCATTGACCACCAGAATTCCGGTAATTTCAAGCTCTATTGGTGGTTTTGATACTATTTATCTCTAAGACTATAACGCCCCCGCAAACCGAGTCTAGTTTTATCACACGTACTCACGACAATTCCCAAGAGACGTGAAAGGGTGCCGTTGAATATATCCCTTGAGGAGCGAAGTGAGACCAATTAACCTTGTTTGTTTTCCGTGATCTGCCTGTCAAGCATAAATTTAATTCTGTTCTAAGCTATGAAATCTCAATTCAGTCCTACCGGACATCATGCATCAACATCTACTATTCGGTCCCTAGAACTACTCCACTCCATTGCCAGCGTCAAGCTGTAAACTTCATATCCATGACCCAACGCCAAGTCTTCATCCTCCTAGTTCTGAGAAGACATGGCATCTGTGGAAATACTGTTTGCTATCGTCTGTCACTCCGATAAAAACAAGAGAGCCTGGTCCCTGGCTGTCGAAAGACGAACGAGAAGATATAAATTTCAAGGCCCAACATACAGTCACGCGAAAGTTTACCATGAAGTCAGTAAGTCAACTCGGGATCTATCTAAATCTTGATCAAATTTTGCTTACTGTCGCTTTCGTGGGACGATGAGGAGATAACGCCAAGAACAAGAGGACGTGGGCGATCCCAAGTGTAATCGCGCAATATTACTCCACTCATTGTACAATTGAAAGGTACACGGACCACGGTCGAATACTCGGATCGTATAGACGACGGATCAAAAAAGAGAGATCGCTTGTATACTACGCCTTGGCCTCGCTAGCCCCGTTACTCAGCAATCTTATTCCTGTGGTACGCATGATCCTATTGCCAGGAAACATGGCGATGACATGGACATCAGGACTCGCGTTGGACTGCCACTGAAAGAAGTCGAGTTCAGCTTCATCGCCGTCGTATAATCGAACGCATTCCTCTGCTGTCGCTAGTCCGGGCTTCATGAATGCTACTGCGACGAGAGGACTACTTAGTCTGCCCTTTATCTGTCGCTGTTTCTGGGAAAGAGTCCAGTCCGGTTTGGTAGCCAATTTGCGTCGGTGGGAGTCGAGCGAGGATAAGATGTAGTTCAGATTTACCTCAACGAATTTGTCGAGGTACACCTGTAAGAAACGGTAATCGTATTCGGATGGATTGTAGAGGCCATCTACGAGGGAACGTCTTTAGTAGTCTCTACTACTCATTTCTACACCGAAAACGTACCAAGATGCTCTGCGGTGAGCTGTTTACACTTCTCACGATGGGTCATTTTCCAGTCTAGCTTCTGGCAGTGCCGAGAGCAATAGGTCGCGTCGGCACACGATGAACAGCGTGAGTAGCGGACAGATGAGGATTCTCCGTGGGTCGATCGGGTTACACTCAAAGGGCACTGCATAGAAGATTTTCCTTGAGATTGAACCTGATAAAGAAGGGGAAATTTGCATACGTTCTCGTGACAGCACATCGATAGAGGACCCTCCTTACTCACGCGTACCAAGTCTTGGAAGAAAGCGGCCTTCCTCTTCATCATACACCATAGATCCCACAGCTCGTCTGACTTTGCCTTCATTTCTTCTTCGAGATCTTGCTGAGAGGCAAACTTTTGGAGGATAGGCCGAAAGGAATGGAGGACCGAGGGGTACGGTAGATAGGTGGAGATTCGGGAGAAGATCGGGACTACAAATCCTGCGAAATACCCCTCAGGTTCTCCCATCGCCATAATGTGGGCCTCGGGATGAAAGAACGATAGCGGGGCTTTTGTGATGGCGGAGATAATTCCGGAGTCGATTGTCTTCGATACCCAGTAGGGGCCGTCAACGTTGAAATCAACCAGCCATTTAAGGTGTGTTAAGGCGATATTAGCGACCCCCCTGGTAACAACAACCTCGTCCCCTTTCATTGTTGGATCCTGTGATGTCGATGATTTCCGTCGCCTGAACTTCGAAATTATGCGCACAAGTGCGGGGATGCTGTACTCCCGAACGCTCCCTGGCCTGAACACTGTGTCCGGACCGGGGAAACATGCACCAGGTTCGAGACAGTCCAAGAGAGTTTTGAAAGAATACATCTCCCATAACTCCATTTTCGGGATTCGACGAGCGAGGAGATTGATATGACGAACAAATATTATTCCGAGAGCAGAATTGTTTCGATATGGTCCCATCGTCATCTCTCTTACAGGCGTGGCGACCTCGTGGTTGCCGTCAGGGAATGCGATGTCATTTAGCCCGTTTGCCCATACCGTCCAGCTGGGGTGGTTTCTCTCGACGGCTTTGCAAAAACCCTGAACGAGAAGCCCATGCATGGATGCATATGAACGGACCTTTTCTCCCAGCTCTACCTTGTCGGGGTAATACGACAGGAGGTATGGAGAAAAGGATAACGTGTGATCTAAAGCTTCTAGATCCTCCGATGTCAATGGAATACTTTCGTCAAAGACATATGTCCTGAGGAGGAACTCGATCCACTTAAAGAACAAAGATGTCCGCTCTCGAAGTACACTACCGAGAGTGGGAGTGTCAGCACTGGAGCGTGGCTCTTGAAGACCAGCCCAGAGCAGAGCAGCGAATATCTTGAAGATGATATGTAGTTCTGGCGACTGAGGAGCCGAATGGGTGGTAGAGAAAGGTGGATCCCCTACGCTTCGGAGCTTATTCAAAGCCTTCTTGAGACTTCCAAAGTGTTGAAATGCGCGATAAAGATAGTCAAGATCGAGAACGCTGACATAGCCAGGGTGGCGCATTGTCAACGGCGCCGAAAAGCCCTTGAGGATAATCGCATTTAAGCAAAAACAGACATTGGATGAGCAGTATTTGTACTTACCCAGGTCGAGTATTCGGTGGTGGTGGTTCTTTGGAGAGACGGGACTGCCACTGTCGTGATGATGCTATCGCCATGCCGCCTCCACGTTTTGGGTCATCACGCCAACCGGAATTAGTATCCGGAGACCCGGATTCTGGCCCCACAGTAGTGTCTGCGGTCAGTGGTCAACCGTTCCGAGACCCGTTCTGTAAATAAGTGGATAGCACGTTGGGAAGCTCTCACGATAGTGGCAACGAGGGTATTTGACCTTTTCTGAGGCATTTGGGTTGGCCCATCGATACACATATAACATATGTATAGGATAAAGACTAAAACCTCATCTTATGGGCACTAATTGGCAATGCCCGCCCCGGATGCGAGTCTAGTCGACAAACAAAAGGTTCTGGCTCCTGTTCGCTTGCCACTAACCAATGCTCCAACGTACCAAGATGGTGGATCGGTTGATACTCCTTTCAAACGAGCCACTCAAACGCCTCAGAGTGGACACAACCTGCTCATACTCTCGGTCTCGACATGATCACTCTCCAAGCTCGTATGGTGCTTTCGATAACCTCGAGGTGCCGCCGACTAACTGACCCATTCTCCGGCACAATTGCTACCGCCGCAAACAGAGCCGACAAGGATCGTTCTGACAGTAACACGTGAGTGAACAGTCACCCTCGATTCGAGAACATGGAGAAAGGGAAGATAAATAACTGGGAAGGATTGGGAATAGCAAGGGAGTAGTCCATATAAACATGTTACTTAGCCTTTTAGCTAAGTCGATAATCATCTTTGTAACATTTTCTTCTACAGTATGATCCGATTCTTGAAGCTACCCCATCAGAAATTGAGTCCGTACTCCCAAGCGCTCTGGGTCTGTCGCCGGCCCGCATCGGAATTCGGACACCCAAGGTTGCCAAACATGACGATACAAACAGACCCGTCTTCTGAACTATGACCATGACCACGGGCGATGATTCAATGCTATCCTTTTATGCATTCTTATAGCCGTTCTCAGCGTTGCTTCGGAGATTCGGACTTCAAGTTGCATGTCTACCAAGAATCACGACGGTGAGTTACCTTTTTGTTGGCCTCATTGAAGGACATGTCCGCTCACTCTCGTTATTTCATTCTACTGAAGTCAGGAAAGCCAATATAGCACAAAAGCTACCACTACAAGTTCAATATCTCTCATCACTCGAGGACGCCTATATCGTCATCTGTATTTTGGTCGGGACTTGGCGGACGGAGTTTGGCAACGGAGACAGGATGACGAGGTTTCTCCCGCTCTATCTTGCCTGCTATGCCTTTGTGCGTTATTTTT